AGTTGCTTTTTATTTACATTTCTTTTAAATTCCAAACTTATCTAAATATGAAGATCTAACAACTCAAATCATTAGAACATTTGCATAAACTGAAATTAATCTGTATAACAAACTGAAACAGCGACACTTGTGGAAATTCTCTTTTGGGAGTTTTTATTCGCCTGAAAAGCGACCTCTACAATTATTCTTCTTTGACATGTTCTTCAATTATAAACTGACATTTGTGACTTGAAATTGACTATTAAGATATAACTTTTTTTGATGGTTTTAATTCATTTGGACATAAAGTGACCTGTGTAATCTTATCTCTCTCTCTGAGCGACTTTTTTGATATTTACCTCCCTTATTCGGACATAAATCGAATTTCATGATTTTTAACCCTTTTCAACAGGAATGCCACGAAAACTAACCCTACTATAAATTGGTTCTATAAAAAAAGGAGCTGTTGTAATTTTTCAAGGATTCCCTTAGATTTGTTATGTCTAATTTCTTCGCTCTGTTCGATTTATGAAACTACACGCGCTGCTCGCGTGCCCGCCGAAAACGACACGTGCAACGAGGTAAACATCCGCCGCGTTGCCCTCGAGGTTTTGTGTCTTGTGGAGTCTTCCCGATGTTTCAACTGCATAAAAACAGGAAAGAAGAAGCTGTATGGATTCAAACTTGCATATTTCAATCGTTCATCTCTCAAAGTTCTCGGGCGCTGCGTTATTCAAGCAGCAAAAGAAACGCGGAATTCGGACGTAGAAACGCGTGGTGAATAATTTGCTTTGTCTCACATATGACTTCAAGACCTCAAACCGGTTTATCGTTTTTTTTTGGGGGGGGGGGTTAACTAAGTCTTACAAGAGTTATCCATTGGAGGTGGTGGAGCGGAGCGAGTTAATGGCCAATGAAAGGAAGACTATCCGCATATTTTGGTGGGATGCTCTGACAGATGACCTCAAGCCGAGCTGGGAGGAAAATCAGATGTTTTACACGTCAGTGTTAGGCTTAACATTTTTATCTAGCATATACATTATTATACAGCTGAAAAGATGATACAGCATAAAAAAAAGGCGTTACGTCCATCTTTACAAGGAATTACAACACACTAAAGGAACGAAAAACCCCAAGATTCTAATGAACTTTATAGAATACAAAAGCAAATAAATCATTTGTGTTGTTAATCCTTACTCCAACAACCTGGCTTGTAAATGACTTAGATAAAATTAGTAATAATTACAGTTCATTAACTTAGTGTATGTATGCATGTTTGTTTGTTTGTAATTAAGCACAAAGCTACACAATGGGCTATCTGTGCTCTGCCCACCACGGGTATCGAAACCCGGATTCTAGCGTTGTAAGTCCGCAGACGTACCGCTGTGCCACTGGGGGGGGGGGGCTTTTCCTAGTGTATGTTCGCACCACAACAGGTGTTATCACAAAGGTTGATGATATACATAGCGTCTATTCCTCTACAGTATATGTCGGGCTGATAACTTCTGGTATTGTACGAAAGGCCTCGTCCGCATTGGGTATGGCAGATGTACTTCATACCGTTTTGAATTACACAAAAAAATGCCACCAATAATGCCAATCATAGACGTCTGAACCGAGGTAACTGGGGCCCCCTACTAATTTTGTACGTTCCCACGTGCCTGTATTAATCCTATTAATTCTTGTCATATATATGTATTTAACACACCAGCTAACTGATTTCACCCAATTTATTTTGTTCAGTTCCTTACACTGATCTACCCTGATTCAGTGGTAAGTTAACGGACTTACGACGCTAATATCTAGGGTTCGATTCCGCGTGGTGGACAGAGCGCTGATAGCTAAAAGAAACTATCTTTACGTTGAATGTTGTAACAGAAGGCCGGAACTTTGAGTGAGTCTTATATGACATTTCTCCATGGGCAGGGCGTGGCCTACTGGTTAACGGGTCGAAGGATTCGGGGTTCAGCATGCTCCGCAGTTTTAGTTATGGGCACGTAATAAATATAACAGTCAATCCCATTTATTGGTTCGAAGAGCCGGACAAAGCCCTCTTGACAGCAGGATTTGCTGGCTGGCTGGCTGACCTCTCTTTGGTCAGTAGTTCTGAATTAGTTGAATCCCCGGGGTCTCTTAACTGACCGTTTAATCCACGTGTGCATAATGTATTGGTCAGATTTAAAATTCCATTTCCATGTTTCTTTGCTATATATATATTATTATTTTAATGGACTAATCAGACTAGCCTAGTGGTTAGCTTGACTTAACTGTGAATCCTAGGAATAATGGTTCGAGGACCGTAAAAAAAATGTTTCGCACATTAGAGCCTTCATTGAGGGTCCCCCGGTGGGACAGCGGTAAGTATATGGACTTTCAACACAAAAATCCGGGTTTCGATTCCCCGCGGTGGACACAGCAATATGGCTTTGTTTAAGCAACAACAAACCGTATTGAGGATATTAACCAACAAAGTTTTTTCTAAAAACAAAAGCCTTATTTTTGATACCTAACACGTATATTTTTACGGTACTGATTACGACACATTGGCTAAGATGAAGGTTATTTTTAAATACTTGGCCATTTCCAAAAGGCACGTGAGCATGAAATAGCGCACGTGGGAGTTGCAGAAAATCTCGTGCTGGGTTGATTGTTGATTTGTAAGGTCCATTCACTAATAACATCCGTAGTGTTTATATTTTTGAAAGTTGTGGTTTAGATTCAGTGGACTTCCTCCTCTGAAGCCAGCTGGTCACATAAAATGCTCACTTTTGGACTCTGGAGTTTGTAAGAATAATTTAACATGATACATGATCTCTTGAAGTTTCGTCATAAATCACCCGACGAAAGTTGACAAGTGTTTCTTTTGTTTTTTACCTTTCTGGCGTATTTTAGGCCTGATTCTCAAACTTGACTGACTTATTTATATCAATATTGGTATTTATAGTGAGCACAAACACACACTTACGTGTACGTGTGTTTGTTTGTGTGTGTGTGAGTTTTTTTTTAATCCCGGTCGAACATCTCTAATCTTTTGTCTGTCTAAATTCCACTACCAAGTGTATTGTGTATTGCCATGAATGCCACGTCCAATCAAGGCGATGGTGGGCTTTCAGACCACTGCCCAATGAATACAATAATGTATTTTTAGACCACTATCCAATAAAGAAAATGATGAACTTTCAGATTATTGCCAGATTAAAGCGATGGAGAGCTTCCAGAACATGTTCAATAAAGGTCATTGTAGGCTTTCAGAACATGTCCAGTAAAGGTCATTGTAGGCTTCCAGAACATGTCCAATAAAGGTCATTGTAGGCTTCCAGAACATGTCCAATAAAGGTGCCTACAATGACCTTTATTGGACATGTTCTGGAAGCCTACAATGACCTTTATTGGACATGTTCTGGAAGCCTACAATGTTTCAGAACATGTCCAATAAAGGTGATGGTGGGTTGTTACTGTCCATTCAAGAAAATGATGAGTTGTAGAGAACTGTCCAATCAAGACAATGGTGGGCTGTTAGAGTACTTCCCAATCAGGGCAATAGTGGGTTTCATAGTACAGTCCAGTTAAGGTAATGATGGACTTTCTGACCACCAGATTACTCAGTGATTAACCTAAAACTTCAGATGTAAAGTTTACAAAATCTAATGGATCGAGTCTTGTTGAGAATAAACCTATCATTATTAATTTAATTCTAAATAAAAAACTTATCTGGCCTTTATTTAGTTCTATATAATGTAAAGAACGATATTAATGAGAATAGAACTATCATTATTAATTTAATTATAAACAAAAAATTATCTGGCCTTTATTTAGTTCTATATAATATGAAGAACGATACTAATGAGAATAGAACTACCATTATTAATTTAATTATAAATAAAAAACTTATCTGGCCTTTATTTAGTTCTGTATAATGTAAAGAACGATATTAATGAGAATAGAACTATCATTATTAATTTAATAATAAATAAAAAACTTATCTGGCCTTTATTTAGTTCTATATAATGTAAAGAACGATATTAATGAGAATAGAACTATCATTATTAATTTAACCGGCTAACTTCCATTTTCCAGCTGGTTATTCTAAAGGCTGGATTAACCGTTTTCCTGCTGGTTATTATAAAGGCTGGAGTAACCGTTTTCCTGCTGGTTATTCTAAAGGTTGGATTAACCGTTTTCCAGCTGGTTATTCTAATAGCTGGATTAACCATTTTCCTGCTGGTTATTCTAAAGGCTGGATTAACCGTTTTCCAGTTGGTTATTCTAAAGGCTGGATTAACCGTTTTCCAGCTGGTTATTCTAAAGGCTGGATTAACCGTTTTCCAGCTGGTTATTCTAAAGGCTGGATTAACCGGCTAACTTCCATTTTCCAGCTGGTTATTCTAAAGACTGGATTAACCGTTTTCCAGCTGGTTATTCTAAAGGATGGATTAACCGGCCAACTTCCACTGTCTTTGTCATCTAAGTAAATAGTCCTTGGTATACATACGCTGGTAAAGCTCTTCAAATTGACTTAGGCTCTCTAAACGGCGGAGCGCTTTTTCAGGTCTGTGCCCTTTAGTTTAAGTCGACTACAACGGTAGGAAATATATGAGCGGTTAGGGATCTGATTTCTTTACATCCAGATTTGTGGTAGTAGCAGCTGACCCCGCCACTTCGGGGGTCACCGTCAACTTCCTCCCATCTCTAACGGCCGCACACTTGTTGGCCTATCGTCTCGACGCTCAATTGTATCTTACGCGAGGGAGCAGTTGGAGCTCATCTCCGAAAAAGCAAAGAATAAAAAACACATCCGACATCCCGACCACATGGGACCCAGTATTTGGTAACCTGACTCGGGACGACCATCCCATCTTGCGCCCCTTCTTCTTACCCCCCCACCTCTCGGGAATGACGTCGACAACGGCCCGAGATTTAAGAAAAGTCCTATCTTCGTCAATCTAGACAATTCGCTTCTTGACAGCAAGAGTCACACATCGACATCTCTCTAACGACTGACCACAGTCAAGCCACTGGTCATGCCGAGAGCTTTTCTTATTCGTCGACACACTCCACAAAACACGGGGAACAACGACGAGAGTTTTTTTAACAGAGGTAAGTTTGTTTTACATAATTAGAGAAGTTAAGATGGCAAGAAACTAACTGTAAGTATACATCCTGACGTTTTGTCTTACGTTCCTCATCCAGTCTCACGCCACGAGCTTCGAACTGCAACGCGTTTAACTATCATCTGCACGTGACTTTTAGAGCAAGAAAACAGTCTAATAAGTTGGTTCACGTGCCTCTCACGACAACTGTAAGTTTAATTATATTTTAAAACGTGACTTTTATGACAATAATATTGCAGAAACTGTGGTGTGGAAATAAGCCGTATTTTTATTTCTAAATAATCGTTTTCAAAAGATCACAACTTACATACGAGTTGTGTAGTGGCGAGAGTTCTGGAATAAATTTGGAATTCAAAAATAAAGTAAAAAACACAACAACAACAACAACAAAATACATTGAGATAATTTGAGCCAGTGTACACGAAAATCGGTATCGTTAGTCTTACGTAATTCACACGTTGAAGGAGAATTCTTGAAAACGCCATGATCGCTTTATTTCAACTTTACTACACTTGTGATGAAATCTGAAAACGAACGAGGATTTACCGACATGGACCCATCGAATGCTTTGAACACATAAGTTTATTGGTTACAGGGTTGTTAATGAAACACGAGACATTCAAAAAATGAGAAAAAACCATCAGCATTATAGTTAAATCCTACTGGATAATATGCTGGATTTCAGCACGTGTTTTACGTAGAAAATAAGGCTAGCAACGGTTCGAACCTGTCACGTGCTCTAAAGTAGGACGTGGTAATAAATGATTAGTCAATAAGTAGCACAATGTCTTTTGGTGAAAGATAAAATATTCATTAGACATTACAGCCGACTAATTTCATAACACAGTTACATCATCAGGGCTAGTTGGTTACAGTTACCATCATCAGGCCTAGTTGGTTACAGTAACACAGTTACCATCATCAGGGTAACAAATACGTAACAAATTAGAACACATTAATCGTGGTTTGTATAATAAACATATTAATTTCCTCTATATATCCTTATTTTTTATAAACCGCAGGTATCGAAGCCCCGATTTTTATAGTTATAAGTTTTGAAACTTACAGCTGAGCCACTAGACTAAAGTAGTTTGGGAAGTTAAAAAGTGTCTTACACTAGGGAGCTGGTCTTTTATTTCAGGTAGAAGAGCACTTGCCTTTAAAGTTTCTAAGAGGAGTGATCTAGTGGGTCCACCCCCCGCTCCACG